CAAAGCCTTCGCTTCCATCTTCACCTTCTTCGTCTTCCTCATCATCTTCCTCTTCTTCTTCGTCATCACTATCATTTTCCATAGACTCTTTGAGCTAAGTGGAATAGATTAGTGTTAAACCAGTGACCTCAAACGAGACGTACCAGCTCTATGAGTTCGTGACATTCATTCAGATGGGCCATGACTATTCCCTGTCCTTCGGGAATAGAGCCATCCTTGCCAACAAATTTTCCATCTTTCACCATACTGTCTACTTGGAACAATGCCAATTGGTACTAGAGTGGATGTTAGATGAGATACCGTTCGCTTAAGGAGATCCGGGTGACGTACTGGATACAATTCTCTAGGATGGAAAGGTCCACCATAACGAAGTACTTCATTTAGTACTTTCTTTACTGTAGAGAGCTTGTTTGCCTGTGGACGCAGTCAATACAGAGAATCATAACTTTACAAAGCTAGACTCACGATAGGCATCAGCTCTTCCGAAACTGGTTCACTCGATGACAAAAGGCTATAGATGAGTCCATAACACCTTCTCAAAAGATATAGTAATACCTGCCCACCAAGCGCATTAGCCGAGGAAATCGTTTATGGGTGCTCGATATGGAACACTTACATATTGTCCTTGGCTTGGTTTTCCATCGACAAGACCGCCGACATTCCACTTTCCATCTTTTCGCATCTGGTCAATATCTCTTAGTGCGACAGCATAATTGTAAAGGTCTGTCTCTCTAAGCGTCCAACGATGAGTCAATGAGAGTCTCTCTAGCTCGGTTCTCATCTCCTTTAGTCGTTCATACACTGGCTTCAATTCATCGGGAAGACTGATGGAATATCCTCGCGCCTTGATTTCGTGTGCAATGTCAAAGCAATCCTCCACAAGGGACGAACAAATGGCCTGGGAGGGCGGGACAGTGGAGGCTCCAGGGCCGACACAAAACTTGCCATCGACCCTCTTCGAATCGATCTTTCGAAGTTCCTCGACCAGCTTTTGGAGCTCGGTTTTGGAAGGGTTTTCCTTTGCTGCGAGGGCTGCAAACTGTCGCCTCATTGTAACCAGTCGTTGATGTAAGGGCACAAGCTCGGGTGACAGTACAGAAAGGGATTCCGCCATTTCTTTGACGATCGCATCTGGAAATATTTATGGGTAATGTGGGGGTTGCCCCCATCGGAAATTTAGGAGAAAGAGGGGAGAGAAGCGGACGGCCAAGGTTCGAATATTGGGGAGGATTAAGCGTGTGGCATTACGTAGCGAAATGTCATTGGCGAGAGACACGATAAGTGTATGCAA